TGACCTATGAAGGAAGGCTGAAAGAATTGGGTTTGTTTAGTTTGAAAAAGAGAAGACTGAGCGGGGTCATGATAGCAGTTTTCAGGTATCTAAAAGGGTGTCATAAGGAGGAGGGAGAAAACTTGTTCACCTTAGTCTCTAAGGATAGAACAAGAAGCAGGGCTTAAACTGCAGCAAGGGAGGTTTAGGTTGGACATTAGGAAAAAGTTCCTAACTGTCAGGGTGGTTAAACACTGGAATAAATTGCCTAGGGAGGTTGTGGAATCTCCATCTCTGGAGATATTTAAGAGTAGGTTAGATAAATGTCTATCAGGGATGGTCTAGACAGTATTTGGTCCTGCCATGAGGGCAGGGGACTGGACTCAATGACCTCTCAAGGTCCCTTCCAGTCCTAGAATCTATGAAAAAGAATACTGAATCTCATTTAAATTGCTGAGGGAATTCATGTAGCCAGACTGAAATTGCCTACGAAGGAATTTGGTCAAGACACTGGGGTTAACACCACAAAGGCCAGGGGATCTCTAATGATCACAAGCAGATTTACAGCTCATCTGAAAGATGGCACCTTCAACAACAGTGTGTTCATGGCATTACTGTGGGAATTGGTTAAGTACCGACTCCAAGAAAAGACTGCTACTTCTTGAATCCCCAACTCCTGTTCCAGCAGAACTCGATTATCTTTCAGAGGGGTAGCGTGTTAGTCTGAATCTGTAAAAAGCAACAGAGGGTCCTGTGGCACCTTAGAGACTAACAGAAATATTGGGAGCATAAGCTTTCGTGGGTAAGAACCTCACTTCTTCAGATGCACGTAATGATTTACCCACAAAAGCTTATGCTCCCAATACTTCTGTTAGTCTCTAAGGTGCCACAGGACCCTCTGTTGCTTGATTATCTTTGGAATTCTTAGATCCAATCCTTTCACCCAACTCTGCTTAGTTTGTGAGATAAGGGTTCACAATTCAAGATGGTATGGCTGTAGGCCATGAGATGTAAAGCAAGACCTCCCCCAAAAGTCAGCTATGTAATTACATGGGGCCATTCTTCATTGCTTTCAGTAGAACTACTCCAGAAAAAATAGCTGCTTGAGGATATTCACTAGAAAAATCATATATTAAAAAAACAGTAAGACTGTGCAAAGATATTAATAAAACCAATAATTCTTTACAATATCTGGCCATAACAGGGTATACTCTTAAAGCACTTCCTTAATGCATTTCATTATCCATAGGTATTGACAGTATTTCAATTAAATGTCCTTGGTTTTATACACACACATCACTTGAACATTCTTTTAATATGTATGTTTTAAGGCCATGATCCTGCAGATCTTGCTCAACTAGGTACTCCAACTGAAGACAATGAGGCGTCTCATAAGACCAGGGATTACTCATATGAATAAGTGTTGCAAGAATCTAAAATTAGTGAATGTATAATGTATACATACAGCATTTTCAAATCCATGATTTTCTAGGTAGAAGTCAATAAATACGTTTCCAAGCTTGCAGGATGACCCTGGGGAATCATTTTGATCCAAAGGAATCTGGTGTAAATCCTGGCTCAGGACACATCCTTATTTCTCAAGAGTTCAATTTTTGTGACATATACGGAAAATAGACGTCAGCCTCTGATGAAAAAGACCACTTACCTCCAGGGAACACACTATAAAAACTACAGCCTTGAGCATTAACAAACCTGTTGGCAGGATTACCAGTTGGACATTATGTAAATATGGCTTTTATCTTCATTATCAATTGTTGCTATGTCACAGAAAATGCTAGTTAGAATACAGGTAAACTCTGATTATCTGAATCCCCGTTAGCTGGCATTCAGATTAGTCAAAATTCAGAAATGTCCTCCAAAAGTGTAATTTAATTTTTCTGAAATTCTGTTTTTCCAAAATCCAGGTAAGTCCAGGTAAGTCCTCTGAGCTATTTAGGTAGTTAGGGTTTATCAGAATATTGTTTGGATACACAGAAATCACAATATGCTTTGCATTTTTAGTATCTCATAAAAGCACAGGCAACTCAGAAACAGCATGGTCTGGAGAAATGAAGAGGTTTGGGAAGCAGGAAATTCAGATTTCTAAATCCCAGCTCTATCATTGACTTACTGTATTGCCTTGTCAAGACATCAGCTGTCTGCCTCAATTTTCCCATCTGGTAAAATGTGGATAATATTTATTTACCCATCTCAAAAGGGTGCATTGATTGTTTGATTTTACACTGCTACATGAATGCTGCTTATTAAACACGTTTTCCATTGCAAGGCATTATCTTCATCTTTAATTATAAACACATAACCAGTTGCCCAAAATGTGACTGTACTGAAATTAAAAATAATGTAAAATAGAGAGAGTCCTATTTAAAAAAAATCTAATGTAAATGTATGAGATTACAGTACAATTTCCTAATGGAGCTCATGTCTCTGACTTTGATCATATGTGATTGTGAGTAGAATGCCAAGTAGCAATGATGACCTCTATTCAGTAGAAACATATACGCAGCTCCTATTGTATTCTTTTATATTTAAATAGTGAAATGTAAGGGAGTAGTTCGAAGTAGAATACAGCTGGGTCAAAGAAAATTCACACCAATTACAATTCATACATAATTCACATTTTACCTATTTTGGAAAAAAATTCACATTTATTTACTGTCAAACAGGTGTTAAACTTTACATTGGTTATTAGTGATGGGCTCGTTAACAGTTTTACACAAAGGGATGAAAAAAAGCAGAATTTTGCTGAAACAATTTACATTTCATTAGATCTTTATCATAAAATAAATTACTAAATATAGGCAGAAGGAATATGGAGGAGTAATATTTGTTTTATTTTATTTTTAAAAGGACAGGCACCTTTTGTTCACCAGAAAGTTTGAGAGAAGTGTCCAGTGTCCCCATTAGCCCTCCCCATCCCACCCTGGGTAAAGAATGAACAGGGAATTGATTTACAATCTTGGCTAGATTTTACCAAATTTGTGCAAGGCATGGCATAACTGGCTTCTAAGAGAAATTTCCCCTTGGTAATTTTTTTTTTGGCAATAAAAAAAGTCAAACATAAGAATAAAAATTAATTTCTCAAAGCAGAACACTGTTTACAGTGAAAAATAAGTGAAAACAGGTAGAACTTGGATTTTAAACATACTACAGTACTATGAACAAAGTGTAAGAAAAACAGCTTATAACATATGTGCAACCAAGAGCTCTTCACAATATTTTCTTCAAACTCTTTAAAATTATTTTTAATAATTATATTTCAGTTGGACACAAATGTATTTTTTTACCCTAGCAATAGAACAAAATATAATTTCTTTAGCCATCTTTCACGAGAACAGTTCATTGTACAGTTGAGGAAATATATGAAATAAGGCCTGTGGCTTGATTGCTAGTGGTTAGACATGTTTTCAATCTTTGCCTTAATGGAAAAGATTTGCAGTGAACTGCAAACTGATGCAGAATCTCTCTCTCCTGCTTTTGAAAGTCTTGTCAGGAATAATAAGGTACAGTAAATTTGTCCCACAGGATTTTAGAGCCTACGTCTTGTATATAATACAATGCAGGCCTACCCAAAAAAAGAGGGGGGGGGAGGGTGCAGCCATATTTACAAATATAGTTCACAAACTGCTGCAGTAAAATGGCTGGAAAGTTTTCGTCTGTTTGTTTGTTTCACAATTTTGTTAAACTCAGCAGCAGAAGATATCTTAAAATACCTTGTTGGTATCTCTTCTCTTTGTAACAAATAATTCATTTTAGTATACTCTGTGTATATACAAAGTTTTTGTTTTATAAAAATTCACAGAACTGCAAGGTCCAGTCATCCCCTTTACACCGGAGAACCACAGGGTGAACAGAATAGTCTCTTTGAGCAGATATGAGGGAGCCTGTGTTGGGCCAATAAAGTCTTTTTAATACTTGTATGTGGCCTTTAGTATTTCTTTGCTACACTATTAAAGGCTTGTCACTAGTTGCATTTGTCCTTCCCTAACATCTCCTTCTGGGATACATCCTTCTTTGTTAATGGGAATTATATAGCCATCACTATTGCCCCTGCTGATTTGATAGTACATCTGAAGCTGATGGCCAGCTCCAAGATTTGGCATGCTTTTGTAGTAAATGTCTTCATTCTCACTCCTCCTGGAGGGAGAGAGATCTTCTTCAACATCAGGGCTGCTCTCTGGATAAGGAGAGTCTCTAAGATTGGGCATGCTTGTGTAAAGAGAGTCTCTGTTGGGGGACTGAAGGTGGTCTTCAGCCTCAGCTGTCAGCTGTGAGACGTAGCTGTCAGTTCCTTCAGTCTTCACTTTCTTCTGTGGCTGGTACAGAAGCGAGTGAGTCCGTTGGGGAATGAGTGGTGCCTCAAGCTCCTTATGGTGAAGCTCCAGTCCTGGGTTGTCACTGTGCATCAAAGATGAAGCATCCGCCACAATTGCATCATCTTCGCTACTGCTCCCGCCAATCACAGCTTTGGCTGGGAGTGTGCGCTCCAGGTTGTGGTTCTTGCTGCTGCCCCGCAGGTTGTTGTGCACTAATTCTGAAATGATCATTTTTTCAAAAGCAGTATCATTCAGGCTTAGTCCACAGTCTACAACTTGCACACTGTCATTATAATCTCCATTGCGCAATGAGTAGCTGTTGTTGAAATTACCATTTAGCGGTAGAGTATCCATGGCACTTGTATCCCTGGCATTGTTCAGTGAATGTCCTGAAATAGAAAGGGGACAGTTTGGGTTACTCGCTGGCACTCTTTTTACTTTTCTTCTTTTTGTATAAAACTCTTTAATGTAGTTCAGGACAAAGTTGTACTTGGAAGTAAGACTTGAGAAAAGTTAGGTTATTGAACATTCCCAACTGTAAACAGTTGCACACCTTATAGGAAAGATGTATTTAAAAAATAATACTGATTTCCCATGGGGTGGAATTGGATTTTAATTTAGAAATTTAGGGGGAACTCTGGGATTCTGATTTCATAATTTAGTACCAGTTTTATGACTCTTCCACAAGGAACTGTTCACTCCATGCCCTTGCATATGTAATGCAAAGCAATTCATTTGTAAACATTTACATTTTAAAGTACAACACCATGATTAGAAAAATAAAATTAACAGAATTTGTCCTAAACGACACTAAATTAAAAAGGAATTAGGCCACATACAAAACTGAAGGTAAATGTATAACATAAACCCACATAACTGGCAAGCAACTACTTTAACAACAGTTCTAACCGTTCCTTTTTTTTCTGGAGATGAAGTAAAGAAAAGAATGAAAAAATGAACAAATACAAAGAATTTATGTTAAACAAGGACAGCCAACTTTCACACTAAAGGGACCAGGGCCCACAAGCACCATCCAACAACACGATAGACAGCAGGTGGAATGACTCACTTTGACAACTCACATCATGTCTGTCTGCTCAGGCTATCTGGCCTAAGAGTAGCTGATATATAAAAGAAAGTAAAATGATTTATTGTAACATGATGAAGAATTACTAAGCTTCTCAGCAACTTAGTCAGAGCAAGGGTTCAGCAAATTAGATTACTAGCAATAATAGCTTTTTTCCCACTTAATGTAATTTTTGCACTAATATTCTGTCTGCCAGCAATGGCCTCGGGCTTCTAAAGGTCAAAGTTCGCCTGCAGTCTGCATCAGTCACAGTGACAGCACTGAATGAACCAGTATAGTCAATTAAGACTTAGGCCCACAGACACCATGGGCATGCAGTTCAAATGCAGAAATGTTAGGAATTTCTGTAAGCATGGGTCACAGAAATTAAACCAAAGAATAAATATTAACTGTGGAATGGGAGGAGGAAATCAGCCATGGCTGACATCTTTTAACTGCTGGAGGAATGACAGATTGGGTAAGTCTGCTGGAGATATGAAAAGAAGTTTAAAGAAAAAAATTGGAATCTTATGGTGGCAATTTTTTTGCATTAAAGAAATGTGTTTTCTATAGACACAAAGACATGTAAACTACGAAATCACAATGCTTCCCAGGCAAAGAAAAACAAGAGTTTTGAAAGAAACTGAAAAGCCTGTACCATTGAAAGTTAGATTGTTTGTTAGTGAATTCCTAGAAAGTCACTTTAACTACAAATATGACTGGAAATAAAGAAAGAATGAAGTGATGTTATTGGAATGAAACTGATCACTGTGAGGCTGCTGCATTATATGCAAGGCTTGGAGGAGCATAGGAAAAAAACTTTTGTTTGAAAAAGATTACAGATTTTCTTGCTTTGCCTTTGTTCCACACTTAAAGCTGCAGCGTACTCTGGAAAATGCAAGTTTCTTCTGAATTTTTTTTAAAAATGAAAGTGATATGTTTTTGTCATGAGATTGTTTTGGTAGCAGAATACTAATTTTGAGCTAAATTCTCCTTTTGAAAAACTTGCAAGTAATTTTGTATTGTGCTATTCCAGCCTGCCATGTGTACCGAATTAGACAAAGTGATGATGGTTGTTTGAAAGGCCTCTTTAAGCTTTGATTAAACAACTTCATAGCTTTGTAACTTCATATATGTTTCAAGATCCTAGCTGCACAGAACATATGGCATTTATAAGAGTGAGGCAACACATGGACCGCATGCTGGCATTAATTTCCCTAATGAAAGTGATTTATTTTTATAATTTTGTTCTCTGTGCTCTGCTAAGCAGATACCAAAACATATTTGATAACCCAAAGTGAGAGTTCTGTGATATACTGCAGAGTTAAGCACTCTAGAATACATTTTGACTGATTTGAGGAGGCAAGTTTTGTTGCCCATCATCAGGTAATTCACTTGAAATCTTTCCATAGCCTGTAGCAAGATTACTGTGGGAATGTAGAAATGTAAGTAAATTATTAAGCATTTTTGCTTGACATTGCTTTGGTTTTAAACAGCAAATTATTTCAGCATTGCGTATCCTCATTTACCAATAGGGTTTGCTACAGACCTTGTGTTATTTTCCAAAAAGCACTACAGAAGTACTGTTTGAATGTGGAAACATTTCAGTTGCAAATTGTGAACCACTTGCCCGCTGAGTCTACTTCATGACCACTAGTTATGTTTTAATTGTGCCCATTAAAAACCATGCTGAAAAAATTTACATTTGATAGGCAAAGTTAAGTTTTACTCCCATACTTGTCTCTCTGTAGGTTGCTAGAGGAAAGCATAAGGAAAGTAAGAAAACAAGAGAATGAAAATAGAAACTGCAGTTAAGTTAAAAAAGAAATTTGAAATAAAAAACAGAAACAAGCTTTTATGTTCTCCATATTGTCAAAGTTTTAACACAGAGTTTTAATTACACTAGAGATAATTATTTGACTCATCAAAACTGTAACTACTAGATATATATTAATTTATTAATTGTTCTGCAATTAAGAAAAACATTTGAATAATATCACAACAAAAGTTAGGTTAGTGATGACACCCTCAGTCCCAGAGAACTAAACTGTTCTAATTATAACCTAAAGTTTCTCCTAAAGAAATCAACTAACATAAAGCTGCACTATACTATAGTTTGGCTTATATTTGATGCTGGATGCAATTTTCTACACCAGGATATCCAAAAGTGTGTCAAGATGCCTCGCACTGTTTTATTATCTAAATCAACTCCACACGCAGGTTTTTCTCGGCAAGATTTTGAGTCAACTGAAGCTTATATTGCATAGACATGATACCTCTAAGTGATATATATCTTGAAGATGGGCTCTCGGACCATGTGGTGTCAGTCCTGTAATAGTATATTAAGATTTATGCCACCTGTGTTAAAAACATGGATAATTATTGGTAAATACTATTATGGCAAAGGCATTACTATAATATAGTGCAGTTTTACAAGCTTGGCATTGGCAACACTGTAAGTATTTCTTAAACTGACAGAAATTCAGAATGCAGGATTGGGATATTGCAACTTGAGTTTCTAGCTAGCAAAAAGAAAGGACTCAGACTAAAGAAAAGCGATTTTCTTTTCAGTAAGTATAAGCACACCTGGTGAGTTAAACACGGGAGCTGAAGGGGCATTACATACAACTGTTTCAGCGAGCAGTGTGTTATAGGGGTTGTTAGTGCCGTGTGGTCGAAGAAGAGGGTTTGTTAGTAGGTAATTGCCAGTCATTCCTAAAGCAAAGAAACAGAAAAAGAGACATCAGTTCTTTTATTTTATTCTTGACAGTTTCTATAACGTATTTTTTTTATTCATCATGAGTCATGTAGAACTTGTCAAATGTAATTCGGCTGAAAATTTCTGAATGTATTTGAACTACTAATTTGAAGGAGGAGAGAGAAAACTTAGTTAAATTTCAGTAATTCACAGGTGCTGTCCAAATCCCCAAAGTAAACACCTGCTGAGAATGACATTTACTGTTTTCTATAAAAATAACATTAAAGAAGAATAGCAGTTAAATGCATAGGGATCCATATTCTATTTAAAGATGCTACAGCTTAATCAAGAACCTTGAACACTGTGGTCCAGAACTCAAAAATCCAAATTTTATTAATTTAGAGATGTTGGACAATTCCTTAAGAAAACATCTGGGTTATGACTAACCTTCGAAAAGCAGAGGGGAGGGGGAAGGAAATAACTTTCTTCAAAGAAATACAAGGAATGACAAACTGCAACAAGCCTATCTTAGTATATGCAAAAGCACACATGCTGAGGAGAAAGCAAAATGTTTTGCTTTAAGAAATTAAACCATTCATATGTTCTTTTGGGACAGATTCATGCTGCGACAATATCAGCCAGGTTTTAAAAATAAATTTTTAAATGTCTAAATTTCTCTACCAATTGGCTTAGCAAGATAAAATAAAACATGACATGATCATATGAACAGATATTTTACTAATTTTCAACTTCAATGCATCACTGTTTACACAAGATTTCAAGTTATTTATTAGACAAAGATTCAGCATAATTTGTGAAAAACTAAATGTTTGAAAACCAGTTAATTTGGCTGTGTGACTTCTAGTTTTTAAATTAGTAGGAAAACTAGTCAGAATAATGAAGAAAAATTATGCTAAAACCTTTGATTGAAAACATGATTTTAAACATCCCACTAAGGTAAAATTCAACTTATGTTGTATTGAGTTGCACAACTGCATCAGGACTAATGTTATCTGAATACATTACATGTCCAAAGAGAGCTGAAAAGCCATCTACATTTTCATACTATATTTAAATTTATTAGATTCTCATTCAGGCAATAGCTAAAGATATTATATTTTAAATATTAATGCCATTATCCTACTAGAGATATTTTATTCTAGGTAGCAGAAATTCCTGGAGTTCAGAGAATTCTTTTATTGACAGATTATGCTAATTTTATTTGACAGTGGTTTAATTTAGTTAACAATTAGATTGCTTTTTACCCTAACTTGTAAAAGTTGCTATTTGGACACAATGAGAAATACTAATTCCAGTGCATTTCCGTATTACAATATATTACATCTTCTCCCATATGTTTTACTTTTAGCTTGAATTACTAGCTTACAGTTTACCAAAAGTAGTTCTTCGAGTAGTGTTCGAAGTGGAGCACCCACAGGGGGTTTATCTCGAAGAACACCAGTTACTGCGTAAGGTAAATAACCTTTCCATATTTTCTGTCAATTTTAGCCTAAAGCTTCATTTAAACCCACCCACCCCAAGCCCACGTTAATTAGAAAATTAGCTTGTTTAGATTTGTGTCATTCTAATGGTGATATTGTAACTAAAAACCCTTTTCTAAGCTTGGCAGGCTAGCACAAGGAAAAGGGGTTCATTTAGTCATGGTATCTTCCCTTGAAAAGACCTTCTGCCTATTGCCTAGTGGTATGGCTGTTAGGCCTCAACTCCACATTGCCCCTGGCCATGGCATAGGCAGAGCAAGTCTGATGGGCTTCAAAGACAGGTCAGGTCCCAGGCTGGCTTCTGCTGGCCCATGCAGGACATACCTCTTCCCAGCAGCAGCAAACTCCTCTTCTACTGCCCAGCAATTGGTTAATTTTAGTTCATCAGATTCTAGAGTAGATGTAAAGATTCAGGTGGATGGCAGTTCACTGAGTTTAGCCTACTGTTCTATTTGGGGTCATGACGTAATTTTACCCTAAGCAGCATCTTAGTCATTGGTGGTGGTTTGTTTTTTGCCTTCCTCATTTTCAAGGTTCTGCAGTTAGGACTAATGCTTAGTTTGAGGGTTGAAGGTAAAGGGGCTTACTGATTATGGTTCCTCAGGATTTTCACTGGAACTGAGCAGCATCTATAGGGGTTGCTAAATTTGGTAGAACTAATAGTTTTGCTACTGTCTTTTTAAATTTTGCCAATTTAGCAGGAGTCTGTTGCAGCGAGGTCAGGTTCATATACCCCTTTCTCACAATGTGGGTGCAGAGTTGAGAAAAGTTAAAGCTAGGGCATAGATGGGGGAAAGGGGCATAGTGACAGGCTGTTGCATTCAGCTTTAATACAAAACAGCCCTACCTCCATTAGTGGCTCCTTGGCAGAAAGTTTGGTGAGGGGAGAAAAGACTGGTAGCGATTGTGGCTAGAACTCTTCTAGTTTTGGATGGCCATGGGCATGAGCATGTGTTTGGGGCCTTCACAAATGTTACATACATCTAGTATGAACTAGATATGCTGGATAACCTTCAATTCAAGTTAAAACGATTAATAAATTTGTGGCCATCAGAAGCCTGCAAGTCTAGCTTATGTGGCTGTGTATTTTTGGGGCCATTACACATGGCAAATGCAATGTGGTCACAGAAAGGATAAAAACTTTACTGAAAAAAATCTTTACATATCTTTTGCATAGAAACGGTGTCAATTTGATTTCACTGGGAACATTTCTGAGTCTAAAAATCATAGTCTCAAATATGCATTAAAAATGTTACTGACTTGTATTTCTGTTTCAGATTTAACCTATAAAGGTTAGTAAAGTTTTAAAATTATGTTCTTGCTTTTAAGCTAAATTATTGATGAAACTTATTAAAAAACATTTCCCATAAATAGAGAAAGTCAATTTCTATAGTGAATGGGCAAGTTGAGTGAACAAGATTTTAAAATGTGCTCGTGAAAGACTGTAATTTTAGAGAACATGTGTTCGAGAGTTTTTTTTCCAACACAAATTTGTTTCAACTCTTATCTGTCAAATACTATTAAATCTAAGTCATCTAAAATTGAAATGTTCCCAGTGACTGACCTTGATTAAGTGTTGAAGTGCTGTTGATGTCACCTGAGATAAAGGAAGATTCAGATTGTTTTCTCACAGTGTCGTTCCACATCCTTCTTATACGACTCTGTTAACGTAAAGCAGTGAGACATAAACATTGTATTTTAGGGCACAAACAGATTTTCTCCCTTTCATCTGTCATCATGTGAAGCATCTACATTGCTTCTTGCTCTAAACTAAATAATTTCTAAACTAAATGGCTCCTTTGTTATGAAAAGTCTAGTCTACTAAATTCCAATTAGATAAAACATGATGGTATCCTTGCCAGTTCCATAAAAAAATAAAAAGAGAATGTTTGCATAAGAACAAACTGAAAGGAAATGTTTAAAAAGAAATCAATTCTACAATACAAAACCATGTATTGCCACCTAGATCATTATAATGAGAAGACAGTTAGTGCATATGAATGGAACATGTCTCAGTAGGCTTTTGTAAATAAGGTTAATTAGAAGATGCTGTCAAAGTCTTTGTTACCTGAGTGCCAGAGGAATAGCGAGCGCTAGTTCTTGTTGTCGATGCCTTCACTGAATTGTGGGGGCTCTCAGTTGGTAGTCCGCCACAGCAATAGGAATGTCGGAAGCACTTGCCATATTCCTTACGTACCTGTAGATGAACAATGGGGATATTTAAAAAAAAAAATAGATGCACAATAAATATCTCTCTTGAGATAAGGATGTGACCAACCATCGTCTATTAATGAATTTTAAACAAATTCCTTTATGGGAGACACACAAATTCAAAATTTTCCTCATTTCAATGCAGCTGACCAGCTTGTCATTCAAGTTATTTATAGTTATTTAAAAAGGCCTCCCATCATAGATCAATATATGTAAACCAGGTTACTGCACATCTATGTTTTTGCACAGTTCTGTGAGTAATTTCTTTTTAATGGAATGACTGTTTTGTGCAGGAATACATAAACATTCTTTGATAAACTGATTAGGTTTGTATTTTTTCCTCTTCAGACTTTCCAGTCTTTAGTTTTTAGTGCAAAAATATTGAGTCCAGTTTTTGAAAACTGCCCTAATCTATGCAGAATGGAAACCACGTCAGTGAAGACTGCAATAATGTCTCAGTGCCAAGTTTTGGATTGTAGAATCCAGGCCATGAGGTAACTCAATAGAACTACTGTCAAGACACAAGAATTACAATCTTTGTTGCTATGTATGTTTGCTGACTCCAGGAAGTTTGAACTCTGAAACTTCAATTGTTTTAAATGAGATTTTTGTCTGAATAACGATTAAGAAAAGCTGAGTAATAATATCAAAATTTGGCCTATGATTAGTTACCTTCTGTTTCTATATGAACGTCTTCATAATTAGATGTATTGATGTTTATTAATATTAAAGTCATCAGAACTATTTTACAGAGTAGTTCTTTCCCTAAAATGTGTTCACTGACAACTGGTTCTAAGTAATTCTTATAGCATGCACATATCCTGGCAGCACTGCATGGATCAGTAAAAGACATGTTTCTGAAAATTTTATCCACCAGGACTTTTCCAAAGTCAGCTGGCTGCTAAGGCTCCTAATTTCCCAACTTTCTTTTCAAAATGGAACTTGGGCTCCACAGTCACCTAGACACTTCTGAAAAGTTTATCTGTCCTGTGAATGTACGTGAAAATGAGAGAGCGAGATTGTGTGAGAAAAGGTAACATTTTCATATGTAGTACTGAAAATCCATTAAAAATTAATAAGGTTTTTTTCACAGACCTCAGGCTTTGCTTTCAAAACCCCAAGTCTTTTATTCATAGAATACATAGTTTTACCGTGATGCTTTTATAAAAGCATGAGCAGGATGCAAATTTGACTACTCAACTTAAAAAATCAGTTTTTTAGTCAAAGCTTGAATTTTATACAGAGATACCAACTTACATATTTTGTAAAGGAAAGGTACACTGTATGTATTTTAAATGAACTCATCTATACCATACAAAAATATAATCACAGATACATATTTAGAATGGGGTAAGTTCATGAAAATGTAAAGTTCTGTATCATTAAATGACATAACACCTAAGGAAAATGTATTTCTGAACGTTAACGGATATTAAATGCTCTGAAATACTATAACAGGGACAATAGCAATCAAAGTTGTATTTTACCCAAATACCACACTCCAGGGCTGGTTTTGCCTAATGCCTATATTGCTGTGAATGTATATTATCTGTCAGTACTGCACATTCCACTGTCATTATTTCTAAATTACAGCCTGTTCGAAACTGATGGAAGTAACAGCACTATCATCGTATCAGGACTGGAAACATAATAGTTTTCTCTTCCACAATTCTGTATCTCTGTTCAATTTAGTGACCAACTAGTAATAACAGAATAAAAAGACTACATTAGCTATGCAGACAGGGACAGGATGATGATATCCAGTGAAAGGCACTGAAACTTTTAAACCTTAAATGGTAGCCTTAGCATTCTTTCAGGTATAAATCTTCTTGATCTAGATTAAGTTTTTTCATACTTGACTGGCACTTTAACATTGCTTGACTCCACTTAATATAGAAACAATGCATGATAGTAGAAAATAAAACAGCAATGTGTCTTTGGTTTTCAAATCCTATATAAGTGGTTAAAAGTGGTTAAAAAGGCAAAATTTTAAGATATCCTAATTTAGAAATTATTTGCATCTTTACTATGTTTACAATTTTCCCTCTTTTCTATATTCAATCCCATCTCTATGGTTTTCCCTTTCTGAATGTGTAAGGATGTGCTGTAGCCAACTTGATAAAAATTTCTCTTTTTATTCTGGCTCTCTTCCTAAAACATGTTATAACAGTTTGCATGGAATTAAGAAACACACAAAGTTAAATGGTGAGCATGCACAATTTAAATCACAAGAATGATACTTTGCACTTAGCACCCTTTTCATCTAAGGGTCACAATCCACTTTACAAGCATTGAGTTAATTAAGTCCCGTGAGGTACATGTAACAGGAGCTAATGATTACAAGTTCCAAAATGTAAATTGGTTAAAATATCTAGTGGCTAAATGTCTATTGTAAATTTGCTAAAATTATTTCAAAATGGTTACATTTAAGAGAAGATAATGACTATAATTTTTCATTTTACACCTCTCCCCCCCCCACTCCCTTTATTACCATGTCCTTCTTACCCTCATTTGGTATACGACTCTGACGCAGATTGTAAGCTCTTTGGTACAGTTGCCATTTTTTTTGCTAGAGTAATACATATACAATAACCACACAAACATGGGGCAGCTCAGGATATTGTTAAAAGGATATTCAGCTTTAAACCTGTAGGCTGACACATGGACTCTTGCCCCAGGGTCAGTAGTTTACATGAATTTACAAGTGAGCCCACTCCACAGTCTTTGGGCCAGTCAACATTTTTTAAAATACAAAAATTGTCAACTTTGGAAAACTCCCTTCCACCTCACATACTACCTACCACTAATGACCACATTTTTCTACCATCTGTTGGTGTTCAGCATTAATTTGGGGGTCTCAGTTGATTCTGAAATGAACAGTTATCCACACTGCAACCCTCACCCATCACCACTGCTACTACTTGGCACCTCTCAAGAGAGAAGGCAAGGACCTTTCACCGATATAGAGGGTACACTACTCCCTCAACTCCAGAAGTGATCTCCTGCAGCTTGAGACACATCTAAACTGAAAATGAGGCTCTGATTGCAGCATGAGTAGGCATACCCAACTAGCTTTAATTTAGCTGCCATGGCTAACATTGGTAGTGAGGAAGTGGTGGCGCAGCGTTCAGCAAGGACTAACTTCCCCAGTCCAGGCCTGCTGGGGACTCTGGGTACGTACTCAGGTTGCTGGCCCACACCAGAGTCTGTGCCATTGTGTCTTCACTGCCACTGTTACCCACAATAACTAGATTAAACTAGTATGGATATGCCTACCTACATTGCAACCACACCTTCATTTGCAGTGTAGCCAAACCCATTGACATTGTAAGTGACTGGAAGGTTGAACAGCCATTGTTTGATGCCTTAACTCAGTGGTGGGCAACCTGCAGCCCATCAGGGTAATCCGCTGGTGGGCTACCAGACAGTTTGTTTACATTTGCACGGCCACCCGCAGCTCCCAGTGGCCATGGTTCGCCGTTCCCAACCAATGGGAGCTGCGGGAAGTTACCTATAGTAACTTTCATCCAAGATTCTCAGACCACTTTAAGAAACATTAACTAAGCCTTGCAACATCTCTGAACTATTAATACCCAGTGTACACTTACATGAGTCACAGAGTCGTTAAATGACTTGTCTAAGAGCACACAGCAAGTTATTTACTGGAAACTGCACCAATGGTTTCTGATTCCCAGTTCCCTGCTATTGATCTAACACTAGAAGACAGGCCTTCCCTTGAAATTACACTCTATCTCCCATTTTTCTTCATTGCTATTTCTTTTCTAAAAATATTAGGCTACTGAAGAGGTATAAACCATGTGTGTTTGTTTTCAGTAACTTACTTTCTTTTGAAGGGCACAATGAAAGATGAAAATAAACATTCCCTGGAAAGCATTAAATACTGTGAAGAGATATGTCATCACAACCGTCTCCTCGTTGATAAACAGCAGGCCAAATGACCATGTTAGGCCAAGAAGACACAGGAGAGCAAATGCACCCAAGACCCAGGACCTGTAAAAGAAAATTAATTTTAGTAACACTGCTGATAAAAATGCATACCGCGAACTCCAATATTAACATTTCAGTTGCTGCAGTTGACTTTTACTAGGTTCACATTCAAATGCAAAAAATCCTTGGCTTTAACCTTTCCTCTATTAAAAGAAAGAACAATTCCATTTGGTACTTTCAGTCTCCAGTGGAAACAGCAACAGTAGATATGACCTTTTTTTTATTCAAGAACTGCACAAGATGTCAAAACTATTTTAAAATGCAGAGGTGTAGCACAACCCCCAGCTACCCCACTGCTTTATCTGTATTTTTACAAAGGAGATTGAGAAGTCTAGCTTAACCACTAACCGAGCCCTATATTTTGAAGAGTGGTGCTTCCATGTGTCACCAAATAATGTAACAAATACACAAAAGTTAAACAGCAGAGTAAAAACCTAGAGCCTAAAGCTTTAATATTCTGGTAAACTCAGCTAAACTAAGGCTAAGTGATCTAACTTCCACATGAAGGAGCCTTGCTGAAATGTGACAAAAATATGGATACATCCACAAACTAAAGTCTTTGAGAGAGATTCCAACATGACTAGTTTAAGGAAAAAGGACAGAGAACAGCACAGAATGAAGGGGAAAGGGATTTTAGTCAGTGCATTCCACATCTAACTAATGATCTTACTTGATAAATGGTTTATTATCTTCATAGCTAGAAAGCATTATAAGCAGAAAAGAGAAACAAAATTATTAGACAGAATTGTAACAGAAATTAATATGAAAGCATTTTTGTATTTTATATAAAAATTAGTCAAAATTAGGAAATTCAAAGTGCAGAGGCAAGCAATTTAAAATCATAAAGGCATAAAATAGTTAAAAATACTTTAGCAAATTAGATAATTCCAAACTAGTTAATTAAAATTAAGGGTGATCCACAATATTGACGGCGTTTGTAAAATTAAAAATATCATGCTAGGAATTTGTTAATGTAGGGTTCTATCTTACCCAGGTAAGTCCGTATTATAGTAGCCATCACAAACACGGTAATTACTGGTGTGGATGAGAAGACAGAAAGAGGAAAAGGAAGAAAAGAGAGAGATGCTAAAGATTAGCGCTCTCTCTCCTCATGCAACATGCAATGAAGCTGATACTGACCTATCTATAGCATCTGGTTTGCAATGTTAGCCTTAATGTAAACCTATCTTGGCCATTTTCAGTATTGAAAACAAATTTGTAGGACCTTTTCACAACCAACCCTTAATGTTCTAAATTACACCATCCCTTCAAAGAGTTTATAGCAACAGCCTTCAGTTTGAAAAAAAAACACTAAAGAGAATACACTAAAAGACTATCACAAGACTATCACAGCTGTAAGATTCTTATTAATTACGTAACACTTGCATTACTCTCCAAAAGGGATACTGAAATACAGCACCAATATAAAGTAAACATTTGTTCAATTAGCATGAAAACAACAGATAATCTGTAAGTTAACAATAGTAATGGAGTCATTTCTCTTGGGAGAACTGGATTACAAATGAAAACTGCTCAGAATCCCTAAAATAAAAACACTATTTAACAAAACAAACTTAACATAATCATATCAACCATGCAAATAGGAACATCATTTTGAACTACATTTTAAATGCAAATGAAATTGTCACTTTGCTATAGAATTTCTGTAAAGATACTGAAATAATTTCTTGGCACTAACTGCAGGCCGAAATGATCTAATTTTGACCAATGCCTGTGACATTATGGTAACAATGTAAGGAAAGCAGGATTGGTACTGTTTCTTTCTAACTGACATTTGTAGTTGCTGGGAGACAAAGCCATGTGTTCCTAATGGAGAGTAGCTTTCAATCAGTTCAGTAATCAGAAAATAATCATAGTTCTCATACTTGAACACAAAGCACTTACTTAATGTTTTCCAACCTGCTAGAGTCTGGTTTCAGAGTGTTTGAGTGCTTCACCATTTTGCACAATGTGATCACCAGGAAGATAAGATTCAGCTGTCAAAACAGATAAGAAAGAAATTAAACTACTTTAAGTAACAGGTTGAGTAATTAGGATGTTATTGACTTAAAAAAAAACCCTCTCGGTTTATTTTCAAGTATATTTAGGTGACTGGTAATGGTATTTGGAGTGTTTCACCCCTAAGATGCTGGTTCAAATGTGGACAAAGGGTAACATTTTCAAAGTCCCAATTTTACTCAAAATCTAGCCGCACCAAAAGTCACTACCTTCTCATACAACCTGCATTTGCCATATTTAACCTGTTGGTCTAAATTTTACATTTTCGGTTTAATTCTGCCCTATTGGACATCAGTACCTAAAGTTACACTAATCTCCGCCTTACCTGCTCCTGTTTCACCCATTTGTCCCCCCATGTTTTGCACCTCATTTTTGTTCTTGTTGCTACCATTCTTCTTCCCACTTGCCACCACTCCATCCTTCCTTCCCCCTTGAGCCCTTTCCTCCTCTCACTAGTTCCATCCCTTCTACACCTACCCTTCTTCATTCCTTCTTGCTTTCACAGGTACTACTCTTGTCTGGTAAACAATTTTTAAAAATTGTTCCACTGTAACAAATGAAAAACTTAGAAGACACAACAAGGGCACCTAATTTAAACCATTGTGTAGCACAGTCTACTTTCTCCATCCATTTTATTGTCTGGATATTGACACCACAAGGAGAATTGCTTCCATGTGGCAGCCTCACACTTTCATGGAGAGGGTTTCCAGCTATTGAGACTGATGGATTGGACTTCCTCTGAACAGGATCTCTTTAAATCCATCCTCCATCCAAAATCCAGGCTCCCAGATAGAGGGATGCTGGATTGGGATGGCTGGTCCTGACTCCATTCTGTGACAATAGGTTTGGAGATGGCAGTAGGTAAATGTACTGGCGGGAGGCCATCTGCAGAGCCATGGTACAGCAGGATTGTCATGGCCACCATGGTATTATTAAAGTCAGTATCGCCTTGTCCAACTTGATGTTTCAGAATATGTGAGGTAGGAGGGGGATGACAGGGAAGGAATATATCAATAAGTCTGACCACTGCACTAGGAAGGCATCACCTCTGGAGTTGTGCCCCTGTGTGTCTCAAGGCTGGGCACGTCTTGTTTCCCTGGGTGGCAAAGAGGTCCCATGAGGGGAATACCCACTGACAAACTATCCGCTGTACCACAGATGTGGAGTTCCCACTTGTGATCCTTGTGAAAATACCCGCTGAGGCTTTCTGCTCAGAATTTCATCGTTCCTGGTATGTGCACTGCAGTAAGGATGATTTGATGGTGGATGCACCAATTTCAGAGCTGGATAGCCTCCCTCCAGAGTGGTACGGACCTCACTCCCCTCTGTTCATTTATACATAGATGTTGTCCACCCTGACCTGGGCACGAGTGGATTAGAATTGCTTGCACACCTTGTGGCCACCCGCAGTTCAGGAAGGTTGATGTGGAATGTGCCGACCAGGCCATGGGTGGTCAGGCCTAGTGGTGAAGGTAAGAGTTTGGTATATCATTTTGAAGTGGGTGCCAGGGTGGGAAGAGTCCAGGAAATGAGCTGAGAGTCAGTACCAGTGAGACAGAAGCCGAATGCCAAAACTGGAGGATCAACCAGACTTGTAAGCCAGAGGCAGAGCTGGGGGAAGTCTGAAGCCAGAGGGGAGCAACGGCTGGAGGAAAGCAGGAGCAGGGATGGGAAGCAGGCTGGAACAAGGGCAAGTACAGCTGTGGATGTGGTATGTGTTGAGCAGCCACTAAACTGCTGTGGGGGCCAAGCTTATAAGAAAGACTGCTACACTAGCAGCCAATCAGAGGCTGTGCCCACTCAGAATTCTAAGATTGCCTAGCAGCGCAGTTAATTAGGGAGCAGGACAGTAGTTGTGCCTAGATGGTCCAGGAACCTTGACCTATGTAGTTGTCCAGGTGCACTCCCCTGCCTCGTAGAGACACGTCTATAATGAGTGCCTTTGTGGGAAGGGAGAGAGCAAAGGGAACCATCACACAAACAATGTCCTTCTCCCCCCAGGTAAGAGGTGTCCAGATGCTACAAGGAACTGAGACTCTCTTGTCCAAGGAATCCCTGTTTGAAAGGTAGACTTTTCTCAGCCAAGCCTGGATACTGTACAAATGTAGCCTGGATAAAGGGGGTCACATAGGTGCGTGCTACCATGCAGGACCAGACTGTTGTCTGAAGACTGAGATGAATGCTGAGGTTCTCATTATGAAGAATCTGTATAGATAGGGAAATATACTTCAGAGTTGCTGGGGCGAAAGTGCATAGCTTTGTAAAAACCCTTGGGGCCACTCCAAGACCAAAGGGGAACATCTTGTACTGGGTTTAGTCTCTATAGCCACCCAAAAATGCAGGATGCCTGTGCTGCGGGAATGTCTTTATGAAAATAAACATCTTAAATCAAGAGTTGCAGATCAGTCTCCTTTGTTCAGGGAGGGGATTAGAGCAACTAGGGTAATCATCCTGAATTTTATGTGGTAGATGAAGACATTCAGATGCCTGAGGTCCAAGATGAGTCTGCAGCTCCCTTTCTTTTTGGGGATCAGGAATTGTTTGGAGAAAAAGCCCTTTCCCTAATTATGGCCTCTCCAGCCCCTAACTGAATTAGGCAGTTGGATCTGGACAAGGGACGATAGTGGAGTGGTGCGTCTGCCGCACTGTACTCTATGGTGCTTTCTTGGTGGCTCAGAGGGCCTCAGGTAGAATGGCCATGAGACTGGTTGGAATGTATGCTGCAGCACTTTAGAATATTGTCTGCAAGAGGTGGGGCGCATATTCGCCAAGGAATGGAGAGTGGCATGAGAGTCTTGGAGTGAGTGAAGTGACTCACTGGTTTTCTTCCTGAAGGCTTGTTAACCTCAATGGGGAGATCTTCTACCAACACCTGAACCTTTCTGGGGAACCCCAATGGCTGCAGCCAAGAAACCTGCCTCAACTACTGACATCACAGGAAACTGTGTCCGCTATGTCCAATGACAGCTGAAGGGATGACCTGGCCATTAGATTTCCAATAGCCTGGAATTGGGGCCTGCATTACTAAGGTAATTTATTGGTCAACTCTTGTGGTAGTTCATGACGTTGTATTTTGACATAAGCATCCAGTAGTTCTTGATATGGAAAAGTAGACTGGCTGAAGAAAAGTTCTTTCTGGCATCCTTATCTGAAGGAATGACCCTTGACTGGTTAATTACTCTGCTCTGTGACAGCTTAGAGAACCAGAGAGTTCTGGTTTGGGTAAGAGAACAAATATTCTGCCTCCTTAGGGGGAACAACATACTTCTTTTCAGTTCTCTTTGGGGTAGGGGCCCATGTGACTGAGGTGTCCTTAGCTGGCTCCAAAACAGCCTCGTTCATAGGAAGTGCCACTTCAGAGGGTGCCACTGACAAGAGAATGTCCATGACCATGTGGGGAGAAGGCAGGATCCTGAACCTCTTCCAGATCTGGGGGGTTTCAGTATTCCTCCAGAGAAGTTCCTATTACCGCTTGTAATCATCTTGAGGAGGGGGGAGACTGGTATCATCACTTGTCCACAGATGAAAAAGAAGCCCTTGGCAGATTCAGATGTACCGTCTGCTTTGTTCTTTTGCCTGCCCTAGAGAGGGCTCAGGCTCTAGCACTGGAGGTGATTTCTGATGAAATCTGTGCCCTCGGTGTTCAAAATCTGGGACTCGATAGTAAGGGTCTCAAGTGCTCCAGTATGGCCAGTAGGTGGGTTCACAGGGATGGGGTCAGGTCCCATGGGGATTGCCATTAATCCCTGACTGTTCTATATGAGTCCTGGGATGAGGCTTTGGTAGCTCTATTCAGGTTGACTTCGTGTGTGAAGACCATTGGTGGAACTGGCACTACCAACTTCTATACTTCCACAGAGTAAGAGTCATACAACTCAAAGGGGGAGCCATCAGTACCAATTGTCTTCTGGCAATGCGGCTAGAGGTATTCCCTGGAAAGCAGGGTCCTGATGATCCTTGAGAAGGGCGTACTGAGTTCTGATCAGAGAATTGGAAGAAGTCATTGGTATTTGATCTGTCAGTGCAAGCCAGGGCAGATGGTGAGCACTTTCTTACTTTCCTTACACCCCTTTGAGGACAATTTTGGAGCACTGGAAGCTACCAGCACTGTCAGAGCTGGCTTGTGCACCCAGTGAACTCCAAGAGCACCCCCCTCTGTGGCATGGAGTCTCATGCAGTCCCGAGGGAAAATGCAGCTCTCTTCTTTGAGGACTTATGAGCCAACTTGTTTGCCTTCTTATGAGTGTATTTCTCCTTGTCTTCTTCATGCTTCCATTTTGCAGAGTCCCTGAGCCTGTTAGGCTCCAGTCAATGAGGCGAGAGCAGGAGGTCAATCTGATCAAAGTCTCACAGAATGCTTCATCTGGTTCCTGCAGAGTCTGAACCCCTGAGACTGCCTAGTGCAAGGGGAAAAGGAGATCTCTCACTTTGATGGGATGTATGATTCCTCAGTGCAGTAGAGGCAGTTCTCATGCAGGTCACTTACTGGTAAGTCCCACGGGTGAACAAGGTAAGACTTTAAGCGTGGGACCTTAGGCATAAGTGTCCTGAGTGTTGGGAAAATTAGCTAATAGGGGCCAGGGTTCCCCCTCGGTAACTGTGAGACTACTCACTAACAAAATACTATTAACAATAATAAACTATTTACAGTTTTATTAGTTAGAGATTCAAGCAAGCTAGCAGGCTACAAACACAGGAGAGTTCGGTCCCAGGCTGTGAGTAGTTGAGGCAGTAGGTCCATGTCATCCCTTACCACTTTGTTGAGAGCATGAGGAGGTGAACGGCCAATGAACAGACCAATGGACACTACTATTGAAGAGTTTCCAGTGCACGCACTCCCACAGTGAATACCCATAGGGACCAGCACTCGAGGAAAACTGGCAGGATTTCACCCTATGATTCTTTGAACATGAGAAGTCTAATTGCCAGTTAGGCATCTAAAATGTGGAAAAATAAAAGCCTATATTTATAGAGTAAG